ACATTCTGCTCCTCGGGCGTGCGATTCCCCGATGATATACGCTCGATATTCCAAAACATCCGCGCGGCGAAAAACAGCGCGACGGGCGTCCGCGCGTTGTCTGAAAATACCTTGGCCTTTTAATCAGCGGCGAAAAAGTCGCGACCGCGGGGGAAATTCGGGGGAAACAGGCTGTCGGCTTGGTACAATCAGCTGTCCGTATGTATGAACGTACGTATGCGTATTTTATGTTCATTTACATATGCATGCGAGCGAACGAACGGCTGTTGCTGCTGCTGCTCTGCAGTCGTCGACGTCCGGAGTTATCGAACCGCCGGAGGGGAGGGGGGGAGGTGGCACCGGACCGACATTTTTCCATTCCGGTTGGAATTTACCACCCGGCGCATCTTCTTCGTGTTCCATCATCTTCCCATCGGATTTGCGTTACGCTTAGACAGCGGCGCACCGTGACAGAGCGGGACGGCGAAATCCAACGACAAATATTTGCTCGGCAAATACAGGAGTGTTTTCTAGGAATTCGTGACGCGTGCGCGCTCTCGCAAAATACGATGCATTAAAAATAATAGAGGGAAATAGACGCGTAAAACCGCGACGGCAAGCGCAGACAGCGGAGGACAGCTTCATGCGCGAATTGGAGATTCTGTACATACACTTCCTCTCCTCATCTTCTCTCATCGAAACAGAGTTCGGTACGTTTTGTCGCGCTATTCAGGAATTTGCGAAATATTTTCTGCACCATTGAACGCTGCCCGACTCGTATTTCATAAAATAGTCACCAAATCCACCCGAATCTTGTGCTCGCGCTGTTGATTTCCTCAAGTGACTGCCCCATCGACAGTTTAAAAATGCGACGGAGGTTTAGTCGTGATATTGCTAATCTTATGCGTCGTCTACAATGGCAGTAGGAGTAGTAGAAATAAGCAGTAAGATAATAATAATAAGTAAGATAATAAGAAATAAGTAAGAAATAAGCAGTAAGCAAATTGACCAATTCCATTCTCACGATTCAAGAATAATCGATTGTGATTGGTCCATTTACTTACTGCTCATTCAAGGCCGTCACACACAAAATTCCGTAAGAACTTAAAACGTAAGCGTAAAGAAATCGACCAATCCCAATCGAGTATTCGGCTCTTCGTAATAATGGAGGGGTTACGAAGAGCCGAGTGCTCGATTGGGATTGGTCGATTTCTTTACGCTTACGTTTTAAGTTCTTACGGAATTTTGTGTGTGATGGCCTTTGTTACTATTACTCCTACTGCCACATTGTAGACGACGCATTACACGCAGCCGGAATACTTGCTCCATTGGCGCGCTTGCGCGCTGCACTTTCTGCCTACGTAACGCGCGTTCGCGGCGGAAGAGTCAACAGTTACGTCTGCCATAATATTAATCTCGACAAACTTCTCACCGCAACGGTAAATACATCTTTGATCGGGAGTGCATGCGTCAAATGGAAGTTAGTCGATAAAGCGACGCTATTTACTGCGACTGTCGTTCTTTTTCTCGTTTTCGCGACGTCGCAGGTTCATCACGGTACACTGTGCCGTTGCCTTTTCCTGCCCTTTTCTCGATCCACTGATTTTTCCACGCTCGGAGGGAAACCCGCTCAAGTTCCGCGCTTACAGCCCTTAGGTAATGCTTGTTACATCCAAACGTCAGAATTACGATGCAGTTGCAAAAGTATAGTTGAAATATCTTCACGGGGCGGTTTCCTCCTCGACGTTTAATTTGCTGTATTGTCAAATTGAGGAGAACGACTTTTCATTGAGTTTCCGTCATCGTTTGGAAAATAAATTTAATAACTTTGTGATCACCCGATGGATTTTAAGCAAAGCAACATTTTTTTGGCTTCTCTCTCTTTCTCTGTCTCACTTTCTCTCTGAAAGTGTCAATATCACTGCTCGAGTGAATTAATAAAAACAAAAAAGGAAGACCAGATAGAAAAACAAGAAAGGAAAAGTAACAAATCCGTAGCAACTTGATCCATTGTTGTTGACGTGATGAATATGGAGCAATTTGGCGTGTATGGATCCATGTTGCGAATATAGTCCGCGAGAAATACACAATCAAAATGTTATTGATGCGATAGCGTTGCGTCGTGCTTTTCCGCGCGCCGATGATCGCCGAACCATCGTAACTCTCAGATCTGTGTCAGCAGATTAATAGATTTATTCCGCGCGTAGAGACTGTCTTTCGCCAGGCTCGATGCGTGTTTGTGTAGAAGAATAAGAAGAAGAAGTACCATCTTTCTCCCACGTAAGAATCTTGTTGCTGAAAATAGAGGATATTTCCGATACCGAGGAAGTGCTTCCGCAGGATCGATCTTATTACTCTCTCGCCGCTTTCTTCTTTTTCGTCTAATCCTTTTGTGGGATCTCGCACCTGGGGGACTCGACTATTCACGCCGGATAGTCCCGCCGGAATGGATTTGATGGGGTCGAAAACTGGGAACGCTTCTTACGTTGAAGGAGCGATTGCTCGTTTCCCGAGACCTGTCGTCGCGCTTCTAAAGTGCAGTCTAAATTTTTGAAAGGAAGTTCGCGGCGCGAAGTTGACAGAAGGAAGCGACGCGAGAGACGAGGCGACGAACGAACGAACGGACGAACAGACAGGCGAACGGAGAGCGACGATCCTCGTCGTCCTGGTCGTCTTGACGTCGCGCCAAGAAACTCCGAGTACGTGAAGGACTCATGCGAGAAACAGATAATGTGTGATTCGACAGTGAAAAGGACGATAGGTGAAACGGACCGATTTCGGCTTAAATTGTATAACGTAAGTTATACGATGTAACCTTACGCTTTTTGGCTAAGTAGCATTTTTTCTATCTAAATCTATGAGAAAGTGGTGGGAATTTGCTTTAAAGGAATCGAAATAAATAACTTTTCACAGCCGTTCGGGTTAGTAACGATTTTGTTCTAGTTATCTAATTATCTGTATTACATAGTTTAGTTGTATAACTTTTCTTTGAATTCAAGAAAACCGAAAATCAAGGAAACACTTGAAAATGAAATGCTGAATAATTAACACAGTGGAGTTAATATGGTATAAAAATTAAAGAAAAAATAGTCAATTTTCTCATTGAAAGAATCTTAAGTTCCATTAGATGCGCATCTACATACAATGTGCAGTTTAAAAGATGTCAAAATAGTTGAAAGTGGACTCTCCATTCTAGAGGCTCTATTAAAAACTTCTTATAAGGAAATTTAGCATTTCTCAAGTATTTTTTTAGTTTTTAGTGACGAAAAAGTTATCTCGAGTCGAAATTTTGACTCTATGTTGAACTTTGAATTCTACACTGCAGTAGGAGCTAATATAGCAAAATAGATTTAATTTTACTGATATAATTTAGTCCTACTTTGACCCTGATGATGTTTGAAATTTCCGCTTTCGCTTTCTTTGGTGTCAAAGAAGGTTGTATAATAGTAGGATCTTAGGAAGCAAAGTATTGAAGCTTTAGCTCCTACATAGAATATATGTATTTTATAGAAATATTAAAAAAAATTTAATAAATAACGAAACAGAAACGTTAAATAGTATACAAAATATATATTTTGTTTTATTTGTTGCATATATTTCAAACATCATCAGGGTCAAAGTAGGCATAAATTATATCATTAGAATTAAACCTACTTTGCTATCTTGCTCCTGCTGCGGTGTAGAATTCAAAGTTCAACTTAGGGTCAAAATTTCGACTCGGAAATGAGTGTCAATATCGATAAAATAGGTTTCATCTAGGTTGTAGGTTATCTAAGTAGGTTTGAACTATTTTTAAGAACGTCAAAGTAGTGTCAAAATTTTGACAAGGGAGTTAAAGGTTCAAAAGAGAAGTTAATGAGTATCAATATCGTCAAAGTAGGTTTTACCTAGGCTAAAAACCGTCTAATTAGGTGCAAACCTTAAGAGCGTCAAAGTAGCATCAAAATTTCGACTCGGGGTAAAACTAAACTATAATACAAATAATGATTAAATAATTGAGACTAATCGAATTATTATTAAAAGTGACGAGTATTGTAACTCTTTTAAAGCAAACTTTGAGCGCTTTTTCACGGGTTTGGGGACGGATAAAAATGCTCAGTGAGCAAAAGAACATAAGATTACATGTACAAATAACGTTATACTTTTGAGGTCAAAACCGACCCATTTTACTCAGTTCTTGAATACTGTCTAGCGATCCGTCGCTTTTAGACACTGGAGCAGCAGCAGTAACGAGCACGTGCTGCGGACGACACATTTCGTGCTCGCGAGGGTGGGTTGGAAGACCGACGTTTCAGCTATGCTTTTATTCTCGCGAACATCCATCAACACGCGAAAAATGCGAGACGCGGAGATTACGCGGAGGAGGTTGGCGGACTGGGATAACAACCGGGGAAAAATTTTCATAGAAGGGATCTGGAAATCTGTTTGCTCGGACGGGCGAGCCGAGCCTACCGTCGCCCGCGGACTTTGTCTCCGCGCGTTGGCTTTAAAATATCGCCGGGTCTGCAGAGGGGGACGGATTGATATAGCGTGCAATTATGCAAGATTGATCCAGTGCCGAGTAACGCATTAATCTTCGGGTGAAACTGGGATTATCAAGTAATATGGCTGGCATTAAAGGGTTAAGTGGAATATTCATTGTAATCCGAGGTGAATAAATTCCCGCTGGTCGAATGAAAAATAGCGGACGTTTCAAATTGATGGCCTTCGAAAGTTTCGCCGCGGACCACGCGGTACTTTTTCCCGGAGAGGGAGAGGAAGATAGAAAGAAAGAGAGAGAGAGAGAGAGAGAGGAAAAGCGCGCGCGGAGAGACGTCGATATACGTGTGGGTGTACGATCGAAAGTATTTGAAGTATTGTGCCGAAGTTTCACGATTTACCGCGACTGGCCGTGCGCCAAATGTATCGGCACGAATTTTCATTCTTGCGAGAAGACGAAAGTTCACCGTGGAGCCGCGCGATTTTAGTGTCTCGGCTAATATTTCGTACATTCTCGCGAAAGCGCGGCCAAGAGCGCGTACCTTCCGCTGTAGTGACGAGGACCATGTTCTCGGGATGCTTGTTGACCAATCGACGAATAAGGTCTATTTGTTCCAGGGCCAGCTGCACTGAGTCGAGATGCTGCGACGAGCAGGGTACGTACGCGGACCAGAACTGCAACACAGAGAGAGAAGCGAGTATTACGGTGAGTCCCAGCACATTTGTTAATTTTGCATACGTTTTGCTTAGCTGACAATAGCATAGAAAATTTCTTAGGATCTAATTGGAATCCAGTTTAATTTTCCTGGATAATTATGGATTAGATGTGTAATATTTCAATTAAATGATTCTAAATAGGGAAAAATCCAAATATTTCTTCCGGTCTTTATTTTACGGTAGAATTGGATGAAATATATTGACTTCCAAAGTAATTTCATTATTTAGTGAAATACTGATTTTAAAAGTATTTTATTTTTCGATTTTTTATTCTATCGAATATATAATATATATATATATATATATATATATATATATATATATATATAATAATTGATATATATTATTGAATATATATAATAATTGATGTAAAAATATTATTACTATATAAAGTGTCCCATTTTAGACACAGGCCAGCCGAATATTTCAAACATATATATAAATTTATGCGCGCATCATTGTTGATGGAAATTAACGAAGTTGCATTTTTATTGCTAGATAACTCTTAAACTGTTGAACTTAGGTCGTGCACATCTTGGGGATTTTTTACACAGAATTGAACGATTGAATCTGCTACAAAAAGTATCACTTTTTATTAAAAAGAATAAGGTTGATCTCAAAATGACTTTAGTAAATGATCATAGTTAAATATTTAAAATCACCGTCTTCCCTCCTAAAAAAAGAAATCTTATAAATTTCATCTGAAACGTCTGTCGGACTCAATTTTCTAGATATACGGCTGGCCCGTTGAAAATGGGATATATATCTCGACATATTTGTCTTAAGCTGCGCACAACAAACTAATGTAAATGAAATCGACCGCCATTTTGTTATTACAACATCACAGAAATTCATTATCAATGAACTCTATCAGATTCATCATTATGTTAATTACACGAGAGACGCATTACCAACGCGTCGTGAAGCCAAAATCGATATAAAAAAAACGGCACGATTTATCGCGAGGGATTACCCATTCAATATTGGCGCGCGGGCGAGGTTACTCGCGTTTAAAACGCGATAACGTTTAATCGCATTCGTATTCTAATTACGGGAAATTTCTGACACACATAATACTCCGGCTTTAATCCGGCATCTGATAACGCTAGGAATAATTAAATGCATATTACGATAGTCTACAAACACGGGGCGATTTGCATTTTAAATAACCGGCTATCGCACTGCCGATCGTAAATAACGGAGACTCTAAGAGTCCCCCGTCGCGATGCATTCAAAGCGAGAATACCACCCCGACCGCTCTTCCGCGGAATAATTTGGCCGAATGCCCTCTCACTTAAGGTTACGTCACGACATGTTGCACGGCATGTACCTGCGTTACAAAATAACTACCAGCGTCTTCGGAAAAAGATGCACGCGATGTGAGAGAACCGCGCGATTTCCCCCTCCCACCCCTCTTCTCTCTCTCTGCCTTTTTAGCGGTCACGCAAGGGCGTCCCGCGCGATGCAATTAGCTCTCTTGCGCTCGTTATGATGTCCGTTTGATGTAACTCGGGTCTTGCGCGCGTCCCCCGGTTGTTCACAGCGGCGATCCTCCCTTCCGTCGTGTTTTCGCCTCGCTCTCACGACGCCTCCCTTCCCCGTCTTTCTTTTTCCCCGCTGTCTCTCTTCCGAAGGAAACGAGAAAACGTGATTAAGGTGAGTTAATAAATTCCTAGCGAAGAGAGAGAGAGAGAGAGAGAGAGAGAGGGGGGAGAAAGAGAGGAGAGAGAGAGAGAGAGAGAGAGGGAGGGGGAGAGAGAGGGGGAGAGAGAGAGGAGAGAGAGAGAGAGAGAGGGGGAGGAAGAGAGAGAAGTGGCTGATCCCGTCGGACGATGGCACCGTCGGAACTAGGAAATGAGAAACATTAAGCTTTCGCGCCCCCGTCGGAACGGCGGGACGGTGTCTTACTTTAGCTACGAATTTTCCGCATTATGCACAAGTGCGCGCACGGCCCGACCGGCGACGGCGGTGGCGTGGCGTGGCGCGCGCGAAAAGTTTTATTTAACAATGCGGACGGAGAATTTATGCCCGAAGCGTGAGGCTGCCGTCGCGGCGGCCGTAAATCAACGTACGAAGGGGCCGTGCGATGGTATATCCGGTTTTTCTTGTCTCCCTGGGACGCCACTCTTCGGCGATGGTGCTCGCTCGACGGGAGTCGCGCTTGGCGGGAGGTGCGAGCGCGTCGTTAATAGCGACGACTTTAATCACCCGCGTCGGCCCCCGAACCGTAATTAGCTTCGGAACGTCTGTATCTCGAGTGGTTCAGCGGCTTTCGCGGCGCGACGGCTAATTGCGACACGCAAATAATTCAACGGCACCGGCGCGCCGGGCGGCCCGCCTACCCTCGCGGCTTAAAGTCGCGAGAGACGCGGCGAAACGTCGGCGGAAACCTTTAACTTGTAATTACTCTTGTATAACTACTTGGATAACTAGTCGCGCGCGCGCGCGCGCGCGGAGGTACCGTCGAAAAGAAACTCGCGGTCGCGACGTCGTCGTGTCGTATTCATTTGACGAGCGCGTTTGCAGCCCTGAGTCATCAAGTTTTGGCTCCACATTAACCCTGCAAATTCCGTCCAACGTGAGGGACGAAAGGAGAATCTTTTGAGATGTGACATATTACGTACTGCTGGCTTAAACTACCCGATATTGCCCGGATGTTTTGTATCTAGAACATCTAAACTTAAATTATTCGCAAGGGGATGAAATCAAGCGGTTATTCAGATATCACGGTAGTCTATATTTTTTGTAGGATCCTAGAGATTAATTGTGCAAAATTTGATTCAGATCGATTAAAGGGGTTTAGGAATTAATAAGGAACATACAGACAGACATTCTATTTTACATACATAGATTTTAATGTTATTTATAATTGTGTGTGTTTGTCGATAACATCTGAATATTTTATTTGCACTTAATCTTTAGCCTTCATTTCAATAAGCAATCTATTAATTATGTAACGTACTCAAGTGCAAATAGAGCTTTGGGATAAACAAATATGAAATAATTAATATAGGTGCATGTACAATGGGGCTAATGGGAAACAAATCACAGAAACCAATCACAAGTTTTCTCTTTTTATAATTTGTTTCTTACTATTTTTTATTGACGGTGAGACTTTTAGGATAGGATTCGATAGGATTTAATAGTCTTTTGATAGGGCTTGATAAGCTTTTGATAAAATTTGAAAATTCAAAATGTGTGAGAAATAGTTGTAAGGAGCGAGCATTATTAAAGACGCAAAAAAGAAGATCAACACTTGCAAGAGTTACTACAGATTTTCAATTTCTACTCGGGGCATCTTTGGTAAATATCGCACGTATAACTGTTTTGAACGGTCGTTTGGAATATTCGTGTTTAGAAGACGTTGTTTGTTGTCGTATGTGCGCGCAATTCATACGTGAACAACGACGGTTAGTGACAGGTGACTTTTCCCTTTCTGCTGATTGTTTTGATTCTCTCGTACGTCGCGCTCTTTCCCGCGACCGAGTCATTGTGTCTCGAGCCGGTCAACGAGACACACGTCGCGACGCGCAATACGTGTATCGCCACACCGTTTACAATTTCCGTTAAATAAAATATTTCGCAGACTTTTGAGACATTTAATCGGACTCTCATCGACGTCGCGTCAACTGGCATTCGTTTCTTCGATCGAATTCGTATCCACGCGAGTGTCAGTGTTAATGCTACGTTGGAGTACCTGGACTAGCGAGGAGCACGTGGCAGGCAGCGATACATCGGATATATTTCCAGGTATGGTCAATTATGCATTATAATTTACTCTGGTAATAAGAAGATACTCCCCGAGTAGAAATGCTCTCAGTGCAATCAGTGTGTATTCTTCACTGAAATGTTATAGTTATAATCGGTGGTTCAATTATAAGTGCAATCTCGAAATTATAAGGAAAATCTCGCTGAAAGGAACAGTTAATAACGGTTATTCTTTTATAGTTGGTGCACTTTACGAACATAGACAGTGTTGTTATATGCGCATGAAAGCCATTAATTCTATCGTCATAAACGCAGAAACTGGGATTTGATATACAAGAATTTTATTAAAATATAACTAATTATATATCTAATATAATATATTAGAGATTTTTGTTAACTATAGATTTTCTACTCAAATCTTACTTCCATTAGTGAAAATCAGTGAGAAATAAGACTGAGCAGTGAAGTGGGAGTATTTTCACTGAAAATCAATGAATAATTCGTGTGAAATTGTTTTTTATTAGTGAAATTGTTTTTTACTGATTCAATCAGAGTCATTTTTATTGACTTACTTTAGAAGAATGTAGGTCAATATTCATGGTCCATCATTATTTGGCAAATAGTCGTTTCATGAATTTCTGATTATCAATTTATACTATAAACAGTCTGTAAACAACCAAGTAATGACTGAATACGATTTTGCATGTACATAATTCACAGCTATGAATGCTTATAATCTTATGTAAATCGCAATTGTTGATTTTATATATGTCTAAGAATGCCTTATATATATATATATATATATATATATATATATATATATATATATATATATATATGTCTTATATATTTGCATTCCCAATAATACTGATTTACACGTTTATAAATGCTACTTGATCGCATGTCCCATCAGAAATTCTCCAACGTTTTTTAATCGCGCGGTTCTCCATTGTTTCTTCAGGTTCAACAGTAAAAAATTTGCAGGATTAACATAGAACCAAAATATTGACTCTGTGCTAGGCGTGGCGCGACATCTCTCGTCGAATATATCTCGCTCACTCAGTTTATCGAAACACTATCGACAAACAAAATCATACTCGCTCCTGATAGCTATCTTGGTAATCTTTCTTTTTCGTGATGCGGATGAAAATGTAGCGGCGAAATGTCGACAGGTCCTGTCCCGCGTTGGTTTGAAATCGCATTCGCGTTATCGATAATCTCGACTCCCGGATCTCTCAATTTCAAACGTC